GAGAGAGAGAGAGAGAGAGAGAGAGAGAGAGAGAGAGAGAGAGAGAGAGAGAGAGAGGGTAAGTCTCCAACCTTGCGGCTGGCCTCATGGCACTTCCATAGATAGTATGAGCAAAATCTAAAGAATCTACCGTTAGAACATGGAACTATACACTGCCAGACTTGTTTGTTTGTTTGTTTGTTTATTGGTGTGTTTGTGTGTGTGTGTGTGTGTGTGTGTGTGTGTGTGTGTGTGTGTGTGTGTGTGTGTGTGTGTGTGTGAGAGAGAGAGAGAGAGAGAGACACACACACACACGACATAATTAAAAAAAATGGTTATCGTTGTTGTTGTTGTTGTTGTTGTTGTTTTTTCCACCTGAAAACCACCCCCATGAAATTTCACTTTTTTTCTTTTTTTTTAGTTGATTATGGTGGGGGACGCCATTCACAGGCGATACGCGCGCCCCGATTTTGGGTTGCGGCTTCGTCTGCGCGCGGCGCGACCGTGAAAAAACTCGGTTGCGCGGCCGACCTCCTAGGCCGTGGGATCCGAGGTCAAGGGTGCCACACAGCTTGGGACCCATTGGGACTCAGTGGGACCAGGCCCAAACAAGAAGGGCCCCTTGGACCCAAATCTTTTGATGCAGTGTCGCTGTCTTTTCTGTCTGGGATACGTTACTCTTCTTTTTTATTAGAGCCCTCATTGTCGAGGGGATCTCGGTTGAGATGCTTTGTCAGACTCATGACACACAATCCAATGCTTGACCGACACCTTATACACCACTCAATTTGTTGTACTTTGACGGTGCCGATTGGATTAGGCTTGAGGGGATCTCGTACTCGGTCTGACCGGACTAAATAGTTCTGGCTAGGAGTTCTACCTTCTCCTTTGTACTTTCAGTTTGTTTCTTTTGTTGAAATCCACTACATGTCTGTAGAGACGTGCGGACAAGAGAGAAGAGCAAGAGAGGTCATGGCAACTGAAGGAGCTAGTGGTTCCGACATGGCACCGACTAAGCTTTCTACGTTAAAGGCTCGTATGGATGTAGTGGATGAGGCTGATAAATCGTTGTATGAGGCCCTTGATCAAAAAGAATTGGCTGAGGAGGAAAAGACGGAAGAGGCAAAGCGGAAAACAGCCACTGACGAACTTGTGGTTCCAAACATATATGATGCAGACCTTAAGAAATATCTGGTTATGTATGTACGTGTGCTTGTAAATTACCATTTGCTCAGCGAACTTGCGAGGGTGAAATCCCAACTACTTGAGGAAATAAATCAGATGTTGATGGTTGAGATGACCAAAGAGCATCGCGATCGGTTATAGCAAATGACAAGCATGCATCAGACCCAAACCTCAAGTTCCCTTCCCGTTCTACCTTTGCACCTCTCCACTCTTCTCCTTCTTCTTAGTCTTCTTCGTTGAGTTTGGTGGTTAATTAGTTTGTATCTGCGACAAGTGCAGTTCCCACTGGCGCTACAAGCAGCAGCGCAAAAAGTTTTGCAACTACCGCAGCCCTGAGATCGGATCCAGCAATAGCTGGTCCCAGCTATAGCAGTCCATACATGGACAGGAAGGCGGTGATGATACCGTCTAGGTATGGTGACAAGAAGGACACGTAGTTTTGGATCATCTCCATGAGAGCCTTCTTTGAGGTACAGGGCACTCAAAGAGTGAACCAGTCCTTGATCCCAGGGACGAACGTCGAGCCTGTCGTAAGGGGCTTCCTTGAAGTCCAAGCCATGCAAGCTGGGTATTCCAAGATCAACCTATCAGAGTGGCTTAAAGTCACTCTGGCTACCACTCTCGAGGATATATTAGTAGCGCAATATAAAGACCCACATGTTGCAGCGAGAGTAAGGATACAACTTTATGAGCTGAAGTGCAGCAAGTGGCAGGGCACCATGCACAAATTGCAACTACATGTTAGCAAGCTCTTTGCAACGCCAGGATTGGAGCTGACTGCGCAATCGTGTTTGGATGTAGTTAAAGGTACAGTTCCCACTCACTTAACCTATCGCCTAGGCAGAGATTTCTTCAAATACAGTGACTAACCTATCGCCTAGGCAAAGATTTTTTCGGGTACAATGACTGGTTTTCCTTAATGAAGGATGTAGTTAGTCTAGAGGCAGGAGACCTCCTTACCGCAACAAGCAGAAAAAAGACTTTTGTTCGCGGGCGGTTTTGTGGCATCAATCACCTAACAGCGCTCGACTTGCTGGAAGGGGAAGGGGAGGCTGAAGCAAATGACCCCACTCTTGGCGATGGCCAAGAACAGGACGCTGATACAGCCTACTCTTCAACTCAAGAATCTGATATGAACAATGAAGATGAGAAATCCAGTGCTTTTAAAAAAACTGCCCATGGCAAGGGAAACCAAAATAGGAATTCAGTAAGGAGCTTTGTCGCACTTCCAAAGGGAGCCCAAATCCCAGCCAAACCGGAGGATGCAAGTACTAAACCCTCCAAATCAGTGAGGCTGAATGGAAGGCTAGAATGAAGAAAGGGGGTTGTCTGCATTGCCTGAAAACGAAACATAAAGTGCAAGATTGCTATGGGTTGTAGGGAAACCAGAATCAGGCATAGAGTTGGCATCAACACCCTCTACCACAAGGGAGACTGAACCTGATCCAGTTCAACAGTCCTCTCTTGAAGCCCCATCGTCTGCTGATTCCAAGGCTGAAGTTTGTCATGCTTTGTATGTTGAGCCTTGGGAGGAGTCTGAGATGTTCCATTTTCACTATCACTTAGAGCATTGGGTTGAGATGAAACATTAGCGTACTCAAGGGACAATGTAGTTAATCTTCTTCAAACTTCTCATAAACCACCACTATCTCCATGTGTTGATTGATTGTGGTGATACGACTAATTTCATGTCACCACACGGGATACGCAAAGTGGGTTTGGGAATGAAGCAAGCGGCTTCGTAGAACCCTTGGCGGACTCAAGTGGACAACAAAGTGGTTGTCTCATCTACGCATGCGGTCAAAGGTGTGCTCACTACCTTTGACAAGGACAAGACAGTCACGCACACATTGAACTTCTATGTCCTTGACAAGTGTCCCTTCGACGCAGTCCTTGACTTGGGCTGGCTGCAGTCACAATGCGAATGGACCAAGTGGAAGGAGCCACTTTTCATAGTCAAAGATGCTCAAGGGAACGAGCTTCCCGTCCTCTTGGATGAGAAGCACGAGTCCCAGTGACTTTTCTCAATGCCATGCAGTTCTACAAGAAGTGGCGCAAGCACAAAGAGGATGAACAATTGGATATTGCCTTCGTTCGCCCTACTCATGTGCCATCTACTTTTGCAGCTAGTATCAATACTACTTCATCTAATGAGTTTACTTCTAACACTTGTACTTTTCTACCTTCTACTAGTCCAAATGACTGTACTTCAGATTCGATCACCTCCATTCGCAATCTGCGACTTGATCTAGGTGACCCTTTTGTTGATCCTTCACCCCCACCGGTCTGAACAAGCATTCAAAACCTACTTGACTGATTCCCGAAAGTTCTGGTCGAACCATGTGGAGTTCCCATGCGATCGTTCCGACACACAATCGAGTTGGTCGAAGGTGTTGTTCCTCCAAAGGGCTGCGTATACCGTATGGGATCCGGCGAGTTGGAGGAACTCCGGAAACAAATCGATGAGATGATCGACAAGGGTTGGATCAAGCTTAGTGAATCTGAATTTGGTGCACGTGTTTTGTTTGTTCCAAAGAAAGGAGGCAAGCTATGCATGTGTATTGATTATCGTGGTCTAAACCGCATCATAAGAAAGAATGCATACCCATTGCCACACATAGATGACTTGCTTGATGTTGCAGATGGGTGCAAGGTCTTCTCTAAGATCAATCTCAAGTCTGGATACCACCAAATTGAAGTCGATCTTGCGGACTAGCACAAGATTGCGTTTGAGACACGCGATGGGCTTTACGAATTTACCGTAATGCTCTTTGGTCTCACAAACGCACCGGCCATCTTTCAAAGTCTTATGGACAAGGTCCTACGCGAACAGATTGGTCGGTTTGTGGTGGTGTACCTCAATGATATTCTAATCTTCAGCAAATCCATCGAGGAACACATGAAGCACCTTGAGGAAGTGTACATCATCCTCAAGAAAACGCAACTCCATCTCAACTTAGAGAAATCCGAGTTTGGGAGGGATAGCGTCATCTATCTTGGGCATCGGTTGTCTGCTGCAGGCCTCGAGCTTGAGGCAACCAAGGTTGAGGTCATTCGCAACTGGCCTCAACTCGCGAACATCCGCGAACTGCGTTCTTTCCTTGGTCTCGCATTTTACTATCGGAAGTTTGTGCCCCGATTCTTTATTGTTGCTCGCCCGTTGTCCCGATTGACAAGTAAGAATGTACCTTACGCGTGGGATGCAACATGTGAGACCGCATTTCAAACCTTGAAAGAGGTCTTGGTAAGTTACCTTGTACTCCGCATTGCAGATTTTAAACTAACATTCGTAGTCACTACGGATGTGAGCCAGTATGGGATTGGCGCAGTGCTGCAACACGATGATGGCGATGGCTTGCGACCGCTAGAGTACTACAGCAAACGCATGCCCAATGAAAAGGTAGTTACTTCCACCTACATGCGTGAGCTCTATGCTTTGCGTATGGCTCTGAATCATTGGAAGCACTATCTTTTGGGACGCCACTTCAAAGTGTTCTCAGATCACGAGACTCTCAAGTGGATCAAAGATCAAACCACCTTATCCCCTACATTATTTCGTTGGTTCCATGAGATCGACATTTTTGACTTTGAACTAAGACACAAAAAGGGTTGTTATAATCGAGTTGTTGATGCGTTGTCTCGCCACCCCGAGTACATGACTTGCCTTGTGAATTCCTACGACCTCCAAAAGAAACTGAAGGAGGAGATCGTAGAACACACTGCCAAGGTTCCGGAGCTTAGTCCCATCCTTGACCAGTTGTGGGCTGACCTCGAGAATTAACCTTATTTTCACGAATAAGCAGGACTGGTTTTCCGACGCTATGGGAATAACGACCATTTGTGTGTGCCCAACCATGAGCCTTTCCGCACACACTTCTTGGACTTTGCTCATGGCCGGAGTGGACACTTGGCATGGCAAAGACGTACGGAAACCTATTGAGACAGTTTGATTGGCCTGGTATGAAGGGATCTGCCGAAAAGTTTATTGTCAAGTGTCAAGTTTGTCAACGTATCAAACCATGTAGACAAAAGTCCATGTGGCTACTTACACCCCTTCCCATTCCCGATGGTCCCTTGGAGTCTGCCTCTATTGACTTCACCGACATGGGAAAGGTAAGTAAGAACGACTATTCGCAAGTGATGGTGATTGTTGACCGCTTCTCTAAATTCCTCAATCTGATTCCTTTGCCATCTCATGCCCCAACTGAATTGGTGATCTGTGAGTTCGAACAAAAGTACATTTTGCAGTTCGGAACCCCGAAAACTCTTGTGAATGATCTGGACTCGCGCTTCATAAGTAATGAATGGAAGGACTTCATGTCCCAACTCCCTGGCCCCAGACTATCCATGACATCTGACCGACATCCCAAAGCCAACTGTTTGGCTGAGGAAATCAACCAGATTGTGTTCCAACTTCTCCACACTTTAATCATTCCGGATCAGGAAACGTGGGATAAAGAGTTATATTTCGTGAAGGGGTTGTACAACAACTCCATCCATTCTTCCACCGGCATGACGCCAAACAGGCTGCATTACAGTTGGCAGATTTGTAATCCGCTCTCCTACCTATTCCCTTAACAACCAGCTGGTTTAACACCCGACAGGCCTGACTTCAGGCCCAAGTACGATCGCTTGCTCAAAGTTGCCATCACAACAATGACCGAGCGACAACACACAATGATCCAGCATGCAAACAAGAAGCGCCGACCTTCGGATATTGGTGTGGGAAGTTATGTGTGGGTCAAGATGTTTGAATTCTCAGAAGAAGAGGGAGTATCCTGCAAACTTCTTCCGCTCTATTATGGTCTGTGGGAAGTTCTGGATGTGATTGGCAAGGATGGGTTCGGCCCCTCATACACAGTTGTTGTGCCGCCTCATCTGCGCACATACCTCGTCTTTCATGCATCAAAATTGTATATCCACCATGATGCTAAGTCCTTCGATTACCGTGAAGACATGATTCCTTGTGCGATCAATGGTGGTCATGAGATCGATAGAATCAAACAACACGTAGGGAAGGGACAGAACAGACAATACCAGGTTCACTTTATGTATCATCCTTTGGACGATCTCTACTGGATCTCCAAGAAGGAACTGCTGTGCAGCGCACCTTGCGTTGTTAATGCCTACGAGCGACAAATCACCTTTAATGCTGTACCCAAAATCTGCAAAGCTCATTGCGATAAAATACTCTCATAATCTCTTTGCTTTGTTTGCTTACGACGCGTTTGTCGGGGACTCCGAATAAGTTAGTCGCTCGAAGGGACCTCGCTCTCAAGGGGGGCGTAGTGTGATGACCCGACCAAACACGGACCGAGACACACAACTGATTTTTGAGTTTTGCTCATGGACTGAATGCCTTGCTGAGTTTCCCGCCTGCTATTAAGTTCTTTAAGTCTGTGTGTGTGCACGCTTGCTAGTCTGCATGTCTGTCTGAGTGTTTGTTGGCTTGAGTGTGTGTGTGACCCGCAAGGGCACTTGTGCGTTCGTTGGGCTCTCAGGGACGGTACTTACCTGTGGCCATGACATTGAGGATTGCAGCAGGGGAAAAAACTCAAGTGGCGGGGGAAGAGGCCCGCAACACTTGAAGCAGCGAGGAAATATTCAAGTAGCAGGTAGGCTGGTATCACACCTTGAAGAGGTAGATGCGCAGGGTACTCGAGGCCGAGCAGAAGAAGACCAAAGTTGGCATTTTTAGAGACCCAGTAGTTGTGGGTTAGGTCTAGGCGGGTACGAGTCCAACCAGTCTGAGTCTAGGGCTTGTACGAGCAATATCAGGGTCTGCAATGATGTTTCCCTCCGAAAGGGAGGAGGTACCGGTTGCTTGGAAGGTCGAGCGGTGTGGAAGTCACCGCCCAAGAGGCAAGCAGGCCGCTATATCTCCAGGCCGACCGAAGAGCCCAGCCTCATTGTCGGTGTGCAAGTTTGGCGACACACTGGTTGGAGAGCTGGCTGGAGCATCGCTAGCTTGGAGCAGTGTTGTTGGGGAAGGAGCATGGACACAAATGAGGAAGAAGACCAAGAGGAAGGGGGAGAGCCAAAGGTACTTACCTGGCTATGGTGGCCGCCATCTTCATCACCTTGGTGGGTGCTGCAGCAGGAAGGTCCCCTGTCGGGGCAGAGCTACACCAAGAAGCTTTGAGTCAGAGGCAGGCATGGCGGCGTGAGCTAGAGCAGCCATAGTTGCTTTGGGTTGTCCTTTGGACATCAGGGCAAGGCCTAGTAGTCCGCCATAGCCTTGGCTTATAAGAGTGAAGAGTGGGAGAGGCAACCATGGCTATGGTGGACTTCAAGTGATACCTGCAGTAGAAGAGGGATTTGGAGATTGATTCTGATTCAGCCATTCAACATTGTATTATTATTTCTTGTGTGAATAAGAGCGGAGGAGATAAGGAGGTGGAGAGTTTTTGGCGAAGAAGAAGAGCATTATCCTTTGTCTATGCTGGTGTACATCATCTTCTTCTTCTTTCTTTCTTCTCCTCTCAAGTTTATTCATTTCTTTTTGCAATTGGATGGCATTGTACGATCTGATGAATGTGTACTTCGAAATTGGCCAGGATCATAACGCATGAGTACTTAGACAAGTTTATCGTCGTACCTGGACGATATTCTTATCTTTTGTAGGACCGTAGAGGAGCATGCTGAGCACGTGGAAACAGTGCTCGGGCTCCTAAGACAGCACCAGTACAAGGTTGACTTGGAGAATGCAAATTTGGTCGCACCAAGATCTTGTATATGGGTCATGAAATTTTCGCGGACGGATTGAGGTCGGATGATGCCAAAGTGGCCAGCATACGTGACTGGCCCAGACGTCAGTCTGTGACCGAACCGAGGTCATTCTTGGGGATGACAGGCTACACACACCTTGACACCGCATGAGAGTGGACCAAAGAGTGTGAGACAACCTTCAAGAAATTGACGTATGCCCTGACACACTATGAAGTCCTCAAACTTCTGGATCCTGAACACCCTTTGTTGTGACCACAGACGCCAGCCAATACGACATAGGCGCGGTTCTTGCGTAGAAGGAGGCTGATCAAGTACATGAGTAAAAATATGCCGTCTCATAAATTAGCTAAGTCCACATATGAGCGTGAGCTCTATGCCCTCTATAGAGTGCTGGTCCATTGCAGGCACTACCTCCTAGGCAGATTCTTCTATGTGACATCTGACCATGAGACGTTGCGCTAGATTAAGACAGCCCGTCCTCTCTGACGCACTTAAGAGGTGGATTGAAGTCATAGATATGTATGACTTCAAGCTTGACTCTTTGTTACATGCTGAAACGAGGGCCATTTTCAGGCCCTGTGTTGTTTTCAGCCTAAAAGCCGGAAAACAAGGGCCTACATGCCCTGTGTCGTTTCAGCCTGAAAGCCTGAAAACAAGGGCCTACAGGCCCTATGTCGTTTCAGCCTAAAACAGAGCCCTCCAGGCCCTGAGTCTTTTCAGCCTGAAACGGAGGGCAATTTTCAGGCCCTCATAAGATCGACCTGCCCTGAAACTTAGGCACCAGACCAGGGTTTTAGCACAGGTCATTTTGGGCATGTTTTCAAGACAACCTTTGTTTAAGCTTCAACGCCAGGGTCTGGCACGTTTTGGCATTGGCAAGAGCAACCTCCTGGACGGGCCAGCACTATATAAGACTGGCCCGCCCTGCAGGCTGCAAGTAGTTCATAGGGACTTCCCAGGCATTTCACGTGCAGTTGAGGAGGCATGAGGTAGTCTTCAGGATTCGGTAGCAGACTCTGGAGGAGCGTTGCAGTAGTAATAGTAGCGTTAGCAGTAGTCTTCAGCGTTGGGCGCTAGTAGGAGCTAGAGTAGTACTGGAGAGAGAGAGAGATTGGGCGGAGGCCAGGGAGACTTAGCTGCAGCGCCATAGCTCCAGCTTCGTCTTCGAGGTACCTGCAGCTCAGCGCCATCTTCAAAGGTTAGTACATGGCACATGAGAGAGAGTGAGAGAGCTTCTTCTTCCTCTTCTCAGTCCACCATCTCCCTCTCACCCTCTCGCTACCTGACTTCACTGCATCAGCAGACTACGAGAGAGCGGGCTTGGTGACATTTGGATCCAGACTCGACATTGGGCTTCAAACGTTTGACGAGGGATTATCTGGGACTTGTACCGAAGACTTGGTGTTGACGACATTCCCATCTTCCCCCTCTTCTTCGTATGATCCCCTCCTCTTCATCTGTGTATAGTCTGGACCTGGCGCATTCTTCTTGTATGTAGCGCCAGGCCCCTTCACACCTTGTGATGAGGATGATGTATGTTTAGTCTGCATTGTGACATTGATTGGGCTAGTCATTGGTATTCTAGCATTCCGCTGCGCTGTCTTGTACTACGTGAGAGAGGTCAGTCCCGGTCAGGTCAGGGCTTATATCTAAGTCTTCCATTGCGCTATTATGTGCCATTTTGTATGTATCAGGATGTACACTGCCTGTTGAGATTCCACTAACACTGCATTGCCCATTCAATCCTTTTTATCACATTGCGGATTCTTGGCTATATATACATCGCCCAACTGGGCATGTAACACTCTCTGAAGGGAAAGTACAACAAAGTGGGTGATGCACTATCGTGTAGGGCAAACTATCTGGACGCGCAAGTGATCGAGTTTGGAATTTTTGACGATGTAACTCGGTCTATGGTGGAAGCCTATCAAGAAGATGCAGCCATGTCTGAGATCATTCACAAACTGGAAGCTAAAGACCAGGCTACTTTCGACGAGTTTGTGTTGGTTGACAGATTGTTGTTCCTTGAGAAGGTTGGAAATAAACGTTTGTGTGTACCGAATAGAGAGTCTTTGCGTAGTTTATTTTTAGGTGAGTTCCACGATGCAACCGGTCATTTTGGCTATAAAAAAACAGCAGCATATTTACTGCAGCGATTTTGGTGGCCCTCACTGATGGACGATGCAAAGAAGTATGTAGAAACTTGTCAGGTCTGCCAGCGTGAAAAACCACGGACGCAAGCACCGCTTGTGCTTATCAAGCCCTTGCCCATCCCTGCTGGACTAGGTCAGAGTGTGTCCATGGATTTCATGGATACCCTTGTGACCAACAAAAGGGGTAGACGGCACATCTTTGTCATTGTGGACAGGTTCACTAAGTATGCTAGACTCATCGCTATGCTTGAGGCAGCTAAGACTGATCACGTCATCAACCTATTTATGGACAATAGGGTACGTGACTTCGGTCTCCCTAAGTCTATTGTAAGCGACAGGGATGTCAGATTCACTAGTGAACTGTGG